CAAGTGACTGAAGGGTATAAATTTGTTTGCACACTAATTCATAAAAAGCAATCTACTAATCTGCTGTTAGGACGCTCGATGCCGGCGACGAGTGCCGCTCGCAGCGGTGGGCGAGCGGTCGATTCGGCTCGGGGACGGGAGTCGTACGCGGCGAGTGCATGGCGCTTGGACCCTGTGCGATGCCGTGCGGCGGGCGGGGTGGGGACGAGGCCGAGGCGCATAGGCGGTGTGGTACAGGGACTTGAGACAGCGTAAGGGGTGTGACAAGGCGGGGACAAACAAGCAGGGGTGCGGGGACGAACAACGAGGAGGTGCGGCAGCAGCAAGCGGGGGTGCAGCGGGTGCGGTAAGGTGGCGGCCGTAGCAGACGAGTGGCATGACAGGGACAAACGAGCAATGGCGGGACGAATGACACACAGCAGGAGCAACAAGTGGCGGGGTGGGCGGAAGTGCGGTGGGTACGAGCACGAGTGGACGAGGGCAGTGACGAATGAGCGGGGGAGCCGGTACAGACGACAAGGCAGGCGGTACCGAGCGGGCATCAACGAGCGGGAGGCTGACGTTCCGGCGCATCTGGTCGTTGGTGACGACAATGCTGGGAAGCGTGCGAGGACGTGGGGGACAGTGACGAGAGTGCGGCGGAAGGCATAGACATCGATCAGTGTTGTTGTCCCACACGTACGAACAACGTACAAAGGTGTCGGATTGTGCGTCGTTAAATGCATAAGGGCCAGGCTGCCAGGTTGCCGCGTCACGTGTGGTTGTCCGGCCCGGACCACGCGTGACCATGAATCGGCCACGAGATGCGCGTAGAACACACTCCAAATGAGCGGATTGCTTATAGCAGCGTGTATTAGTGCATCACAGCAAGACTTTGTTGCTCTCGGGACTTGTTGAACACGTGAAAAACACGTGAAAAACGCGTAGGACACGTATAGGATGGAAGCGCGTAGTCTATGTGCGACACGCGTTGGGAGCAGAGACAAGCAGAGACCTGCGGGCGGTATTGGCAGCACTGCATCTAGCAGAACTGAGCCTTTAGAGACGGGTCGTAGTCCTGGAATACTGCACACCTGGTGGATCTGTAGTATTGTTCAGCAAGTGTCCTGATGATATGGAACTTAATGGAAGATAGTACATACCATGGGACAGTAGCAGGATTTCTGGAGGTAGCTGATTGCATGGTATGCTGTAGGAGGTCAGTTTACTACCCTAGACGTGGCCCAAGTGCAGACGGAGTCGTAGGGATAGTAAGGAAAGAGCGGTCTGTAAACAAATCTGTCTTATATAATTTTCACATCACGTGCGTGACATGTGACCATCAGCGCGACTAGTGACTTAGGCAGATTGTCTGCTCTTGCGTCAGACACCTGCATTTTTGGCAAGGATTCTTGAATTCGCGGCTCGACGTGTACGCGCGGCTCGGGCGCCGCTGCCACGGCCCCGTCCTCGACTACCGACGCTGCGCCGCCGCCGCTCGCGGTCCCGCTCTCGACCTCAGTATGTACCTACCAGCTCTGTTGAGTGTCTACTGACTTTCTATAGCTTTGTAGCTCAATACGGCTACGAGCGCCGTCCCACATCCTCGCAACCACTCGCCTACGCGCCTCCGCGTCGCCCACGCCCCACCCGCCGCAACGGCATCCCGGACGGCCTCAGCACCCCGCGCTCGCCGCCTTCGAGTTGCGCGCACGAAGCGTACAACTGGGACAAGAGCAGCCTCGTCCCCGCGCCGACATCGTCCGCTCGCCCGCCGCTGTGGCCCGAGCCACTTGTCGGACATCGCCGAGGCGGAGGACGCCCCCGCTGCTGGACGCGACCCTGCCCGGATCTGCGCGCATGCCCGGACAACGAGTCGTTCCCCGCTCGTCGAGTGCAGCACGTGTACGGCGGCTTATGATCGGGCTCGGCCGCGCTGCGAACAGAATCAGCAGAACACCCCGCCCGCCCACTACAACGACGTACCACGCGCCGGCCATGCCCTCTCTCCAGCACCTCGGCGCAGGGCTGCCGCCCCTCCGCAAGCCCAAATCCGGGCCCACGCGCGCCCTCGACCTCGCGCGCCGCTGTCGCCCGCTCCACACCAAGTCCCGTAGGCGCCCGTTTAGCGCCCGCCTGACTTGCGCGTGCAACGCAGACCTCCCTACACCCGCGCAACTCTGCAGCGGCGCCGCCCGACCCAAGTCCCGTAGGTGCCCGCTAAGCGCCCGCCTGCGCGTGCACCGCAGACTCCCCACAAGCGCCGGCGCTCCTGAGATGCGCGCCAAGTCGTCGGCAGGGGCGGCGCGTAGGTCCGAATAGCGCCGCCCGCACTTATCGAACGCGCTGGGCGGACTGCAAGCGCGCACGGGGGCGATCGTGATGCGGCGGCGAAGCAGGAGTGGACCCGCCCCTTCCCGCTTCCCACGAGCTGGAATCCGCGGAGCGCTGCCGTGCTTCGCGCGACGGACGCTGCAGACTCGTGTTTGCGCCGACCGAGCCGCGTGCAAACGCTACAAACGAGTCCCTGAATCAGCGATGTACGCTTGCGCTCGAATGCGCAGGACTCACCTGCGTTCCGCGCGGGTTTGGCCTGCTGCGCGACATGCAAAGCTTCGTCTTCTTGGAATCACACATTTGTGGCAGCCGGTCTGGACCCCAACTTCCATTTCTTTGCCGCCTCGAAGCAAGTCATAGAAAAGATATTTTGGGGCAAGTCTGATCATGATACGGTCTTAGTCTAAGTGCTGCGCACGCCGTCAGTTTAAATTGTTTGAATTGGTGCATCCCTGACTGAGACTGGCCCCAATTCATTTCATTGACAATAACACCCGTCCACCTTTTTCCTTATAACTACAGCTCAGCGTCGCACGGCCTTATCCCACAACTACCCTCCCCTCATCATCTACCCAATGGACCTCAAACGGGAGGAGATGATATTGCGACACAACGATATGTCAACCACTGATCTGAACATCTACGATGAATCCGTTGTTGCTCTTGAACGTCTCGGAAAGCACAATCTCGCTGCCCATGACATTGGCATCACCTTCGAACGGCAAACCACCGGTGACGATGATAGGAAATTCACTAGCTACGTCAACCTCGAGAACCAGAAAATTTTCAGTGCATACATACTCGCTGAAGTAGGTTCCGAAGCAGAAGGAACCTGGCTTGCTGCATATCCCAAGAAGATGCCACCGTCAAAATTGGTACGTATATGTCCCCTCTTGTATTCTATGGCTAACAAGATCATCCAGCCATTAACGGACGACTCCACAGCGCAACGCATGGTGATCGCTGCACGATGCCCGAGCGGTGCCCCCAAGAAGCTTGCAGAGGCCTTCCAAGATTTCATGGCCGTTCTTGATACTATTCGTGCAGATGATCAGGATGAGGAAACTAAGAAAAGAGAAGTAAGTACCGGCGCACAACAACAATTACAATTACTCAAAAACACTAGAACTTCCAAGTGACAGAATGGGCTAACCGTTCAGATGGCGATCTCTTGAAGCCCTACGACATCATGATCTTACGCTTGCTGCCGACGTACGAGGTATGTAAGACGCACTTGACCTATCTTAAAGTCCTTATCTTCCATTAGCGGGTCCCGACGAAAGGCAGTCAAGAGACTAGTTCGGGTGTTGCACGTCGCCCAAGGAACAAGAAATCCTCTACACAAGAAGATGTCTCTATGGAACCGTCTGTGGGTGTATCCCCAACCGTTGACGGTAAATATATCTCCTGCTAAATGTCAGGTCATAACATTATACCTCAGACCGAAAGATTGGGGATACGTACCATCCCAACATGCTCCACCGAGGCCCGTATTTTGACCACAAAGATTCCAAGCTGGTACAGCGTGATTATATAGATCGTGACCACCACCTCATTGCACCACACGAGCTCTACGAGAAACTGACGGAGGGAACCCTATTCTCTGCCCAAGTCAGCTTGCACACCTTCAGCTTTGGAGGTCGTGTTCCTAACAAAGTATGTACTCCCCCACGTCCCGCATCCAGCTCTAATCTACATATCAAGATATATCACATCTACATCGAAAAGCTTCAAATCCATGATCTAGGATATGGTGAAATCTGGAAACCGTCCATCCCATCCATCCCCTCCTCTAGTACTCCGGCGTCGCCGCAAAAACACTTCAAGATGGAGAAAGATGAAGAGGTCAACAAAGCGTTGAACGCTTTCAGCTCTATGTCTCCGAGCAAGAAAGTGAAGACCTAAACCCTGTAGGCAAGCTAACAGTCTTGTCCATCTTAGACAACGCTCACACTGATATTAAGGTCTCAATTAACCGAAGTCCTATTGCTATGATACGAATATTTTGCTATTTCGATTTGTAGTCTACAATGTAGTCTCATGCACTACGAAATCAGAAGTAACCTTTGTTCTCTGGCCGCCACGCTAAGACTTGAACTGGCCCCGATGAATAGATCTATGTTTAATGCTAAAGGTTCAGCACCCGCCTCGCAGAGGCCCAATCCCAGGTCATTGTCATCAATATATCGATTGGCCTATTCTTGGGTAAACAGTCTTACGGAGGAGGGTTTGTACAATGAAAAAAGAGTCATAACTCCAGCTCGACTAGTTCTGCTCTGCCATCCCTAAGGTTGTGAAAATGCAAAAAATACTCACAGATACGGAGGGAGCTTCAATAGATCTACAGATGCAATCCTGAGAGATTCTCCTGCTCTCTGGAATAACAATCCTGTGAATGGCAGCCCGTGGCTCAATCTCGATGTTTGGCGAGTTCTCATGCTTGACTGGTACTGTGCCGCAGCATACTATACCTCGTTTCAGATCTTTTTGTACCTCCGGTATGGTGTAGAGGTTGAGATTGGCGAGTTCTTCATCCCTGGTCTGCGCTGTGCAGTATATACCTTGTTTTAGCCTCCCGGTACAGTGTAGCGGTCAACATTGCTGCTTTTGTAGGCAAAAAGCTCTCAGCTGATGCATCATCTGTCCTTTCTGAATATGTACCCTGTTTCAGATTCTCTTCTACCTCCGGTATGGTGTAGGGGTTAACATCGGTGCTTTTCAATTTACGTAATTCTCGGATTACGTAATGCTGATCGCACTAGCCCGGGGTTCGAATCCCCGTTCCGGAATTTTTTGATCCCATACCCATGGCCGTTTTTTTTTTTTTTTTTGCTGTCGCCTTTTTTTGAGTCGATCCTCCCGCTCTTGTATCGATTACAGCAGCACAAAGTACTCAGCACGGCCGTGGATGGGGATGCAGGTGGTGACATCATAGTGATTATGCATGAGCAAAACCTTGATTGGCCGTGGCAACAAGTGTAGGAGGCTGGAGCACGAAATTTGTTCTATACCACTTGCAAATCATTCGAATAAACCTAATGCACTCCACAGGTAATGCTGGGCTTCAGAATAGAGAGACATCTGACAGAAAATTCAGTCCACCATGGTTCTCGACGCGCCTGACAAGTGACTCTAACAGATATTTATTCCCAAGAAAGAAGTACAAGGATAGATTGAAGCGATTTGATACAAAGCAAAGACAGCAGTGGACAGCAAAAAGAAAGCAATTTAGGACAGCGATATTACCACTCAAAACACATAAGCGACGTGCGCTCGGAAATTTATGCGGTCGGTAGTGTATAGATTCACGAGCCGAAGCTGAGTGACGGAGCGCACAACGACGGAGGAAGGCGGCACCAGAGCAGGATTGAATGGGTTTCCCTGAAGTCTGATTAGAAAACCAGGGTTTGAGAAATAATTGGGCATACCGTGAAATAAGTGTGATACGCTTCTGCGACGCTGAACGCAAGATTGAAGCGCGAGACCGGACGATGGAGACAGTTTCCCGATATCTGCTTGACGACGGCCGGGAATCCGGGGTGCTATGGGGGACCGGCGTTGAGTGAGGCAAAATGATACAAGCGTGGTCACGAACCTCGATTGTTAAATATATCTTGTTCAGAGAGTTGTCTAGGACGCGCTCCCGTGGATCGTCGAGGACGTCACGGAAATCGAGGATCTCGGCAAGCGAGACGCCGAGCAGCGTCTGATTGCCTATGGGTTTTGGGGTGAAAGGTATAGTGATCAAGCCAGGGACATGGGGTAGAGCAGTGGGAGTTTGGGGCTTTAAGCCATGCGCAAACTGAGAGAAGACGGCACCATGGGTTCCCGCCACCTGGCGGCGGCTTTCAATTTTCAGATCGTGAATGCAATGGTGGCAGTGGGGGTTCCCGGACCGCTCCATCAGTTCGTAAAAGATGCGCGCCGCCGCTTCATTCGGCGTCTCTGGTTCAGAGTGGACAAGGCGCCTTGTCTGTCGAAAGACGTGACGCGTAAGTGACGAAAATGTGCGGGTGCGCATATACGTACCGTTGAGGCGCGGGAAGGCCGCCGTGGCGAGACTTCACTGGCAACACTCGGGGGAACCAACTTAAAGAGCCGTCAGCTTCATCTAAAACCGCGAGAAAAAATTACTCCTGGAGCATGGGGTTGTCCATTGGGATGGCATGGAGTTTGAGCGTATCGGCCTCCCATGCGATTTGGAATCACGGCCGGAGGTGCGAGGGCAGGAGCCTGGCTAGATAAGATATGGAAAATGTGGAAACGGAAGCGACCCACAGGAGCGTGGCCCAGGGACTCGGTATTCACAACACATCTGCGCTCGGTTATCTAAAGCGGCGATCAACGATGGCACAACCTAATAATCCGATACCGAGATGCCTACCGGTCTCTGGAGAGGTAGCGCCTGGTGATTTACAGTCTAAAACGAGAAAAAATTAGACTAGAGTTCGGAAACTGAAGGAAAAACAGTCGCGCACCTGTGATGGATTCCGAGGCCCAACCTGTAAGGGCGGAGGCACAGGACGAGGATGTCCCGGGCTTGTGTGCCCCAAAATCCCTCGCTCTGGCGCTGGCTAAGTGAGAAACGAGGATCAGCCGCTGCAATGAAGATACGAACAGGTCACTCACAAAACCGGACCAGGCAGACTGGGGGCGGGATCCCCGAGACGATTGTGGATTATTGCGCTCGCGCTGAGAAACCTCGTCGAAAAGAATGTTGACGGAGGGAAGAAGATTCCCTGCGTTCACGATCTGTCGATAGAGGAACGTCAGGGTTGGATGCGAGATAGACGCGATTAAGATACCGAAGGGTTTGGACCAGGTGGAGAGCGCGACATGAGTGGACGAGAGCAGAGAGCAGAGAGCAAGAGAGCAGAGAGCAGAGAGCAGAGAGCAGAACAAGATAGTGGAAGGAACGGGCGAGACTTGCGACAGACGGTGGCACTCGCGGAGGGTTTTATAGACGCCTCTGGTAAGAGCCAACAACAACAATGGACCTCAAGGGCCACCAGGAGGTTCAAAGCCCAACTGGAGCAAATCGATCAACGCAGGCGTCAAAGCTGAAGGTCAATCATAATGGTTGTGGCCAACAAAGCATCAGCTGGAAAAAGAGCTTCGAAAACAGTGGCCAGAAATGATGTCAAATTGGAAACCGTGCCAAAGCCCTGGTTATAGCTTCAGAGTAGATGGGGGGATACTTGCAAGACTTCATACAAGACTTTGGGGTAGAAATCGGCGATAGTCCAGCCGCTGGACGGCCAGGAGAACGAAATGGTGGCTGCGGGATTTGCCGGAACAAAGTGCTCCGTCGACGAAAGAGGAACAAGGTCGGGTCACCTGTCACCCGAAAGAAGGTTCTAAACAATGGAGTGTTTACCGATGGGGACGGCGGACACTTTGTCATCAGAACAGGTAGAGCTATGGACCTTTGGTGACCTGGAACTCAGCCTGAAGAGAGAACAGATAGATGAGCCCACTCTTGTCTGATCAGAATAATGCGTCCTTGACGTTCGTACTCACATTTTGAACGGTCAAATCGTTATACATTGAACACCCGTCGCAGGCGGAGAAGTCGGCGGCAAAAGCAGTATGTATACTTAGAACAAGGCAAGCGCAAATGGTACAAGGACCCATAGACACCCACACGCTCGCCCGTTACGGCCTAGCGCCCCAGAGAAGGAAACATTCAGCTCGGCGTATGGGCATATGGAATGATATGGAATCGGATTGGAACCGGATCCCGGACCGGTGACGGAGCAAAGGACGGACCAAGGACGGACCGGATTCCAAAGCGGAAGAGATAAGTAACTCAAAGCGATCCAAAGAGCGAACCTTCTTGAAGTTATCACTGCCATCAGTTTTGTCGCTCGTGTTGGCGTCCATACAAAATTTTGAGGGGGGCAGCATAATCCTGCGTGTCAGGAAAACATGCGAAACCGAAAATCAGAAGATTTCGACAAGTTACCGACAAAGCCCCTGTCGCAAAGAAAATAAACCTTGGGATGGGGCGATAAAGCGAGTTGGAAGCCAAAGGGACGAGCTGTTCCGGCAGGTGTTGCTTTGCTCCGTCAGATAAGTACAAGTACGCAAGGGTAGAAAGGCCATATGCGACGGTGGTGCCAAACAAAGCACAGCAAACTGACAGAGAGAGAGAAAAAAAGTGGGTGGGACTCTTTCATTATGGCTACATGTGGATGAGATACTCATGATAATGGTGGTGGTACAGATGTAGGTTCTAGGGAGCAAGGATGTTTGTAGATAAGTGGGGAAATCATAGGCTGAACCGCTCCGAGTCTCCGACTCCGTATGAAAAAAGGTCTAATGTCCGTTTACCACCGCCTTGCCCTTGCCGTTGACAAGAATTTTTTCCTTCCCGTGCGCGACGGGGATACCGAGCCGGAGTATTGCCTCGGCGACCATAGAGTCCTCGGGGTGTGGAGGCTGGAAGGAGCGCAGCTGGACGTCGAGCTGCTGCTCAAATACGGCGGGCCCAGATGCTGCGGCGATGAAACCCAGGAACGGCGGCGACGGGTTGAGAGGACGGGTGCAGAACTCTGGATGGGCCTGCAGACCCAAGAAGAAGGGATGTTCTACAAGCAGCGATATCAGCCGCCGTTGCAGAAGCAGATTGGAGATAGGGACTGACCAGGCAGCTCGAGCACCTGCATGCGCTCGCCCTTCTCGTCCTTGCCGGCAAATACGAGTCCGCTCTTCTGCAGACGCTCTACGTATTCCGGGTTGACCTCGTACCGGTGACGATGACGCTCCCAAATCTTGGCAGCCCCGCCATACAGTTTGCGCGCGCGCGACCAGGTCTCGGTTCCCTCCTCAAACACCGTCGGGCGGAGGCCCAGTCGCATCGTCCCGCCCATGTGAGTCTTGGAGATCTCAGGCATGAACATAATGACGGGCGACGGAGTCTCCAAGAGGAACTCCGACGACGTAGCGTCTGGGCGTATTCGATCAGCGACAGCATGAAATTGGGGGAGAATATGTACCAGCTATTCCGAGGACATTGCGGGCCCACTCGATTACAGCCAACTGGAAGCCAAGGCAGATGCCGAGGAACGGAATCTTTTGTTCCCTCGCGTACTTGATGGCAAGGAGCATGCCCTCGGTGCCACGCACACCGAAACCTCCAGGCACGAGGATCCCACTGGAAAGCCTTCAGTATCAGTTGAAAAGGAAGAAGCAATAACATACCCGGCACCGACGACCGCCCGCCACGCATCGTGGTATTTGGCAGGATTCGACTCTTGCGTCTCGGGCTCCAAGTCCGAAGACTCCACCCACTGATGGTGACAAGCATGAGCAAGGAGTAGGAACTCAGAGCGGATGACGAACGTGAACTATGAGTTTTCTATGTACCCGGAACGCCGAGTGCTCCAAAGCTTTTGTGACGGACATGTACGAGTCCTTGAGATCCGTGTATTTCCCTACCAGCGCGACCGAGACGCTGTCGAACAGGCGTTCCTGCCTGAGCTAAGCATGAGTGACGGGAACGTTGAAGTAGGAGATAGGTCAGCGTACCCCGTGGTGAGGTCTTTCCAGCGCTTCTGCAAGGACTCGCCTTTCTGGACCATTTCCATTGAAATATTGAGGGCATTCAGGTTGAGCCGCTTGCGGAGATAATCGATAATGCCTTGCGATTGAAGGAGCAGCGGGACGTGATAGACGGATGAGACATCGTGCACACCAAGCACCTGCTCTGGTGCGACGTGACAGAACATCGAGATCTTCTCTTTTGTCGAGGGCAGGAGCGGCTGCGGACCGAGTAGTCTACAGGCGA